CAACACTACTGCGATTCCCTCAGCTCACAAATCGTGTGTGCCAATATTTGGGAGAGAAAGAATGTTCCTTTTGTAACTGTTAAGATTGAGTATAATTTTCCTTTCTCAAAAATTTGATTTTTTATTAAAATATTAACTAAATTAGCAGTCTCCTTGTGCTCAGGGTGTCAGGCAAATGTCAAACTTCCCAGAGAAATGCCCGGTAATTACTAACATTATCCATCCATAATATATAAAATTAATCAAAAATATAGGAATCAATCGATTCGTTTTAGCTTATTATACTTATCTTCGCTACAAATAAAATAAAAAGTTACTAATCTCTACATTTATGTCCGAACTGCCCCAGATTGAAGGCTTCGAGCTTGCGTTCGATCCAATTATTACATTGGCTCCCCTCTGCCTGGACTCTGTCAGAGCTTTCCTTAGCAACCGTGGAGCTGGCTCCACAACAAGGTATGTTGGCCGATATCAACTAGAGTTCTTCGGCGCCATCATCTAGCCTGGCGATAATGACATCCTCGTTGCTGAAATGTGTTAGAAAAAAAGACATTAACATCAACAGACAAGCTCCGATTCTACCTGTATTGCTGGTCGCTAGCAGGTTATGTCTTTTTGTTCTTTATCCAGATAATAGCTACTCAGCCACGGCTCCTGAATAATAACAGCGTCGGCTCTGTATCTTCTAAGACGAAGCAAGAGATGATGAAAGCCGCTGTTGCGAGATGGTCTTTAATCTGCCTGACCTTCATTTTCCAGGGTTTTGTCTAGAAATGCGACCTCCGCCATCATCCATCAGCTATACTTCCACCATCCTTTTCGAACAGTTAGAGATCGTCGGTCGACGACCTCTCGAAAACTCGTAACGTATACTCATCAGATGTTCTCATCTTCCATGCCTCTGCACCATACAGCAGGACGGGAATAATAGGTGGCTTATAGAGTTTGGTCTTTGTTGSTCGAGAGAGGACTTTACTTCTCAATTGTCTACCCAGTCTGAAGTAGCACCTGTTGGCAAGAGGTATTATGCGTTGGATTTCGGGGCTGACATTATTGCGAATACAGATTCTGATTCCAAGATAGATGAAAGTTACGACTGTCAGACCTAAAGCCACATTAACCTTTCACACAGTACGCTCGATAGAACTTTATGTGCCAAGGGGTGGGGCCTCTCTTTTTGGGATTGGGAAAATCACACTTAAATTCCAATCGTTTGGCATACATTCGTCCGACCATATTTTACAAAGAATCTGATACATGCTCCTTATCAGTTCTTCGCCGAACTGTTTGATTAGCTCGGCTGGCAATCCATCGGGTCCTGCCGTCTTCAGATGGGTTATTGATATTCGAAATTCTTCATGGTCAGGCAATGGAATATCTGGTCCATCGTAATCGATTAAGGAATCGGGCTCGCCATCTCCTGGTGTTATGCTTTTACTGCTATTCAATTTCTGCAATCTGTATTAAAAAAGTCTAAAGAGCTCGAATTTGATAATTTTCCGCATGTATATCGCAAACACTTAGTTGTAAGTGCACAAGTAAACCTTAAACGGGATGATCCATAATATAAATTAGTATTATAGTTGCTTTTGAGAGTGAGTCTCTGGATTTTCCTTTAACTTTAGCTATATACATACATATATATTATAATTAATTGTGATCTCCCAGCTGTAATGATGGCATTCCTTTCAAAATATTGAAATGATGTCGTATATTTATTTGCTATTTCCTCTGCTCTGAGCAAGTGCTTCACTCGTTTCCTACTGCCCACATACATACATACATCTGATGTGCTTGGTATACTAGAGTCTATAACTACCCACTCCTTTTACTCGCTAGGTGTGCGAGGACGTATGTATATATGTATGAATGTATGAATGTGTGTGTATATATGTATGTATTAAAGTATGTACATAGTTATGCAGTTGCACATACATTTCAATTACTTAAGATTTCGAATTATGTCCTAACATCTATTTCGCGACGCAATCGCTTCGGTCACGGCTTCAGCTACAACTACAGCGACAGCTGCAGCTTCTACAGTTTCTACTTAGTTGTGCTGTTGCAGCAACATTTTCCAGTCGCTGCACTTACAATTCGCCATTCAGCCGGCAATTACAACATATTTCCACATATTTCACACCGAGCGGAACAAAAGCGACCCATCAAAACATTCCACACAAACCGAACGCCGAGAGTCCCCATTTAAAAAAGCTTAAAGAGAAAAATTGCGTTTGCCGTTTTTAAAGATTATGCCACAACAACAACGCAAACAAAGCGCAAGCGCATCGCTGAAAATAAGTTGCAGAAAAAATATGCGAAGAATACCACTACTTATGGCATATTCATGCATGTGTGTGTATGTATGTATGTTTGTATGTATGTAAAGAAGCTGCTCATTTGTATAGATGATGTAGTTGTTGTTGCCGCACACTCTAATGCAACGCCACGGCATTGATAAGGATGCTCCGCGTCATGCCACGCTACATGCCACACCACAGCTAACAGCTTGCAACAGCGCGAAACGGCAGCAGGAGCAGGAGCAAAAGCAACAGCAGCAACAACAACAATAACTACAACTACAACTACAATCACACCAAGAAACTTAAGCAAAGCAACAATAACAACAATGGCAGTCAAAGTAACAACCATATGGAAAGCTACAGCAACAACAACAACAACAACAGCAACAACAACGTCAACAACCATATGGACAGCAACATCAACTGTAACCAAAGCAACAGCGAAAACAACTGCAACCGAAGCAACAACAACAGCAACCAAAGCCACAGCGCCAACAAGCTCTAGCAGTGGCAAGGCGACAACAGTGGCTGGCAGCCGTTTTTACAGTTGTTGGACATTTGTAAAGAAGAACTGATGGCTCCAGCCATGCGCTGCGACAACAACAACTGCCAACCGACTGCCTCACGGTCGCTGTGCGGCGGCTGCGATTGCTTGTCGAGTGGGTCGCCGCGGAAGCGCATTAGTGACCATCGCGCGATTACGGTGCTGCTGCCGGCTTATGCCGGTCGCAATGGTGACGATGATTGTGGCTGTGTTGTTGTTGTTGTTTTTGCTAGTATTGCTGCCTGTGCTAATGGCGAATGGCAGTGGCGTTGGCAATGTTGGCAGCCTGGCAACGATCGAACTAAGCGCGTATGTGTGTGTGTACGCTATTGCAACACCTTTCGTGCCACCCGCCCGCGCAATGCACCACAACTCGTTGTGGCGAAATTAAGTTGTTGCCTATCAAATGCAGGCGAGCGCATTATGTAGATGTACTCCACGCGCAATGAATGTTTTCCTCCTTCTTTTTTTGTGTGTGTTGTTGTTGTTGTTGGTGTTGGCGCGCAAATAGATGTGCATTTGTACGCGCTATTCGTAATGGATTCGCATTTTGCCACCACACAACATTCGTTTTTGACATTTCTTTGTTGGCGGCTTTGCGTTGTAATGCCACCAAATGTTCTCGCTGCTTGTATGTAAGTATGTATATATATGTATATATATATATACATTCGATTGCGCATAGCTCACTAGCAAATGCAAATCCCCGCACTGCACTTGACAATTTTTTTAATTTTGCGCTCTTTTGTTGTTGTTTTTGTATTTATTTTTATTACTGCTATTTTTGTTCTTGTTGTTGCAGCTGAAATAAAGTGTTTAATGCATAAATGAAAATTAATGGTTAGAATATGAATTCTTGGCTTACAAAGCGAAAACTTGAAATCTTGTCGTCGTCGCTCGGCCGGCCGGCCGGACATCGCGCTTCGCTCGCCTTTCCGTCGGCCGTCTAGTTTCCACCAAGCATTGACACAGTACTTTGCGGATAAATGCATTTGACTAAAATTGAGTTGCAATATAAACATGTACGCATGTATGTATGTATGTGTGTATGTATATATGCTGTCTCTTATACACATCTAGATGTGTATAAGAGACAGACACAGTACTTTGCGGATAAATGCATTTGACTAAAATTGAGTTGCAATATAAACATGTACGCATGTATGTATGTATGTGTGTATGTATATATGAATTTGTATGCACATTTCTTAGCTTTGTGTGCGTGTGTATGCAGAAATGTATTTGCGCCATTACAACTGTACATTTGCAGCCACATTTGCACATTTGTCAGTTAAGCTTAAGCTCCGTTACCATACTTAAGCACTTGACGTGGTGGTTGTGGGAATATGCACATCCATATACATACATACATATCTCATAATTACTAGGAAGTATTTAAGTGGGCTATTTACATTCGAAAGATAAATAAATATATACATACATACATATGTATATGAAGCTAAGTATATGTTTGCATAAAAATTGAATGTGTGGGCGGTCGGGAATAATTTTTGATGGCCGATAACGGACAGTTAAGAGATCTAACAGTGATGGTGGGTCTATAACATTTTCATCTCTAAATATAACTTACACTAATAATTATATATGAATAAGTTTCTGTATATGCAGATTGATAGCATGAACTTAGCCTCAAATACATATGTACATATGTACATATGAATGTATATGGGCCATTCCATCAATTGGTTTGTACCCGTATTCCAAACAAACAAAAAAATTGCCATTTTTTTATTTTTAAACGACCTGAAAATTGAGTGCAACAAATTTTGAAGTTATACATTTTTATGTAAAAAACTCTCAGCTTTCTAATAAAAATATTTTCAAAACTAAAAAAGAATTTAAAAATCCCAAACAAAAAAAAAAACATTTTTTCAAAAAAACAGTTTCTTTTGCTTTTACACCAACTTTTTTTCAAAATTGACTTTTCCATTCGATTCCTCATTCAATAAGAACCAATGTTCAAAAATAAAAGAAATGTTAATTTTTTTGTTGGAATGGCCCATATATAAAATTTTGTCCATGTAAAGTGTCAAACGAAGTTCTCTTACTATCTCTACAATTTATAGACTTTTAAATTCTTCTTGTTGAACTTTAATTTATTCTTTTTCTTTTTTATTCGGTAGTTACAACCACCGTTTCAAAGTGCTGTATGAAATTAGACTGGATTGTGACCAAATAAATACCACGACTTGATTTTTTAAACACGTTATGATCCGTATAACATGCGCTATTCACCTTTATTTTCGTCTAAATTCCTTATGTTTCTCACTATGAGCAAAAAATGGTAAGTCTTTATTCATAATTTTAAAATTCTTCATTTTTTCTTCAATACCTATGTGCCTACATTTTTTTCAATCCTCAAAATAGTTGTTAAAGTTAATTTCTGGAATAGCCTTCAATCCGCGTAGCGATTCACGTTGAATATCTTCACTTGACTCAAAACGGTTTCTCGAAGCGATCGTTGGAGTTTGCTGAATAGCCAGAACTCAGACGGAGCTAAATCCGGCACGTGGTTTGTAGGAAATTTCGCGAAAAGCTCACGAAGAATCAACACAGTGTGCAACGTTGCATTATCGTGGTAAAACCGAAAGTTGTTGGCCCATAATTCCGCCCCCGTTTTACGAATGGCCTGGCGCAAATAACCCATAACATAAATAGTAGTTTGGTTGGTTGGAAGGAGTTTGGAGTGCATCACACCACGATACTCGAAGAACACTTTCAGGATAACCTTGATGTGATTATTTTGGCTCTTGATTGTCTTTTTCCGGGTCGTAACATGGATCCAAAACTCATCACCAGCAATACTTAATAAATTTTATGAAATCCTGGTAGTTAGAAAGCATTGTTTCACAGACTTAAACGGGACGCTGTTTTTCGAAAAAAAATTGTGATTCTTGGAACTAATCGTGTTTGACGGATCGTTTCGATATTCCAACGATGCCAGTAAGATCACTAACTGTTAATTTTCGATTCTTATGCACCAGTTTCTTTATTTTTTTGACGTGTTGTTGTTTATGGCCGTCCTGGACGTCAATGCGTTCTCGCCCCCTTTGAATATGTAATTTGTACCAACTATAAAAACACTTATCACAGAAAGTAAAATAATATTCTCAAAAAGTGAAACTTAAACTTAAACCTCCATCTTGAAAAAGTGATACTTTCAACTTGGAAGAAATTTAAATTCTCAACTTGCGAAAAATGTAGCTCTCAACTTTAGTTCTAATAAGATTACATAATGGTTGGAGGTTTGGATAATAATTTGAATCTAAACCATAAATTACACAAAGATTAGTGAAGTATTTCTTGGACGCTCCTTAAGAGTGAGCATGCGCACACATACGTCTACATAAATTGCGATAGCCGCTTGTTTCATACAACTCTTTGTGTCACAACTGAAAAGTGACAATTTATGTGAGCACCTAGGGCGGGTTGCACCTTTGTCTATTGGTGGCTAAAAAGGCGATAAAAGGAGATAGAAATGCTGTTTAACCTTTGTGAAGGAGTTTATGTATGTAAGCCAACCAATCTACATGCTAAGGAGTGTGTTAAAGAAAATTGTCGTGTACAAAAGAAATGCAAATGAATTGAATGAGTTCAAAGAATTGAGATAGTCCCTAATGATTGTAGTGACTCGTTGCATAACAACAATAAACACAAATGAAGTCTATTAGGCAAATAGATAAATATATTTTTAATAGGATGCGCTGCTACAAGTGTACAATCTCTCATACACTGTAATGTATATTATGTAAGTGTGTATCCAACTATACACATTTCTTTGTTTGCTAAAGAGTTGTAAATTCAAATTTTCATGAAGAGCCAAAGATACGCATTAGAAAAGGTGTATTTGTTTTCTTGAGAAAGTAAATATGTTTTGGAAGAATTATACTTTTTGACTGTGTGCTCACTGCGCTCCACTTCCCAGAGTGCAGACCCGTATGTAGTTACTTTTTGGTTATTGTCATTTCACTTTAGATTATGCAGCGAGCTTATTTGTTTTTATGCAAGTATATTTCTTTATACCCGTGCGAGGGTAGTTGGATATGTAAATGAGTATGAAAAAAAAACATGGTTCATTGCTTCTACAAATTCTCAACTTCAACACGAAATAACGATGGAAGGCACTTGCATGAAGCTTGTTCACCAATGTCTTGCGAATTAGTTTAAGATTTGGTTTGTCTTATGCATCTCTGCTCCTCTTTTGTCATGACTTAACTTTTTTATATTGCATATCGAGTAAATTTGTATCGCATTCGTTCCAACTCGGTTCGAACTCCTTTGTATCCTTTCTATTTCTATGAGGAAGAGATTCGAGAATAATGTTCATAATCCTAAGTATTTCTACTGGTAATAACGTCCTTTGATTAAGGTAGGGCCTACATTGTCCAGCCTCTCTTTTGCGACCTTTACTCTATGTCGCGCTTTCGAAAGATTCAGGTCATTTCGTAAGGGTCTAGCATTGATACTCTCATACCTTCGATGACTTCACTTGAACTTTTTCTACCACTCAATTATTTTCAGTGTCTGGTGACATGATTTCTTTGGAAACATGATTGATTTCAAGCAAACTACATCAAACCGTCGTTTTTCGGGATGAAATGGCAGCTCTTGAATGTCTTCAGGTTGCTTTTTGAGCCAAATGCGATAATTTTGAGCCACAAATGGGTCTCATCGCTGAACAAAATTTGGCTCGAAAATGATGGATCTTCTTGAAACTTTTAGATGGCTGACTAAAGATCGCACGTGGACTACTACATGTAGTGCTTTGTGATTCCATAGAAAAGAAGTCAATACTAATTTGCCCAGTCGTTTAATTTCCATTCTCGCCAACTCGGTGGGATGTCTAAAGGTATGCGCTCCCAAATGCTTAAGCCTTTGACCTTCACAACGCTGGACAATCAAGAAGGACGTGTTGAGTTGTTTCTACCTCGTCTTCTTCCATATAGCTTTTGTAGATGACGTCTGGTAGGATTCCCAGCCTTACTCCGTGTACCCCAAATGGCTCGTTAAAAGCCCCAAAAGAGGTAGTCTTATTGAGGGCAAAGAGATCACAAGATCCCGTGCGATCGGTCTTGAGCTAAAAGGTTTTTGCGACAGCGTATGTACCGATGGTGGCCAGCGCTGACCAACCTTCCGCGAAGCCCAGCTTTTTAGTAGTAGAAAGCAAGAGAATACGGGACCGCTGCCATTCTACCGATAGTTATTCTAGGTAGCTCATCAGCTTCACAGTTTCCTGCATTAGGTACTCTTTTACCAATACTGAACGCACTGTAAATGAGTTCAAGACCAGTATCGCCGCTTGGCTAACTGGGTGGATGGTCACTTCACTGAAGTGGGCTTCACTTCGGAGCAGTAAATCTACTGCTGCTTTAAGACACTGCAATAATCAGGAAGTCTGAAGACGGAGTTGATAGAGAGCTCCTGACGGGGTTGAGGTTTATATACGGTTCTTATACCGATCTGAACTGACAACTGTGCTAACCAAAAAAAAAAAAATATATTTTTCCTAAAGGCCACACTTATCGAACATACTTCCTTTCCTTCGTATAAGTATACTCTGTATATATACATATTTGTAGTTCCAACAAAGTTGCATTCATTTGTTGACAATTTGTAGGTGTTTAAATCCCTTTAAGGTACCTTATACCTACGAGCCGACGGGACGCACCTTTTTTCAGCCGAAATTGAGTGAAGTGAAGAAAACACGTTCTGCATATTAACTTTTCTCCATATTCTTACGGCGTTATGGACATGTATGTATGTATGTATGTATGTATGTATGTATGGTGTGTGCGCATGTCGATGCGAGTATTTACATATGTATCTTCAAAGTTGAACATACACCGCTTTTAGAGTAAGCGTGACCGCGCGGCGAGATAAACATTGACACAAAAGATTTGCTTGCAATCAGCAAATACAAATGCGAGTAAAAGGCGGAAACTTTGTCATTACCATTTTTTCGAACTGCACACGCAATTTTCTGTAAAGCAAATAATAACACGCGCACCTCTCGACATTGTTGTAGTTGCATGCGTATGTATGTGCTTATGTAAATACTTGTGTACTTACAAGCAAATTTGAAAAAGGGACAATCTCTTTTTGATGTTGCACGTGTGTGTGTATATAAGTGGTTAGCATACTATTTTACTTCCAAAATTGATGGGTCTTACACTAACACATACGCGTCTCCACACACTTATGCCTTTGGTATGGATTGGAACCCACGCGTCGAGACATCAAATGTCTACTCTTAAAAGCGTTAATAAATATTCAGAAATAGCGGTAATACAGTCTAAATGACACGCCGTTGACGGTTGCATAGTCTAGCTTCTCGAATCTGAATGAATTTATCGCCTTAGAAAGTGACAGGCGAAAAAGTGGGTCGTCTCAGTCGGAGCTTGCTTGAAACGTGTGCTGATGAGTATAAGCTGGACTATTAAATTCTTAATATTTCAATATAAAGAGACCGTAGCCGTGAGTCGTGGTTCTATTTTTTCCATTTTTGGCAGCAAAATTATCCTTTGGGTCATTAATAATAGTAAATTTGATCTTAAAAATGTAAATATAAACCTAGAGCATTGAAGAAAACCTTTTTAATGCTGGAACCTCGTGTTCTCAAGTCTCAAACTCAACTCAGTAACTTTTTTTTTACTTCTCGTAAATTCTTTGACTAAAGAGCAGCATAAAAAATTAGCGAAAGCGGAAATTTTGAATCGAGACCTACTCATGCCATCATTTTAGTTGAAAAATTTAGCATGCATCTTTTTCTGTTTTTCTGCTTTTAAACAACCAAAAATTACTTTCACAGGACTTTATACCAAATTGTGCGCATCGAACAAGCACTGGTATAAATCTAAGAAAGTGGTATAATAAATAACGAAAACAGAAAATTTAAAAAAATTTTAATTTTAATGAGGTTATTGAGGTATATATCTACATTATTTTTTTTTTAAATAGTAGTCAACTTGATATATTTGTTAGCCGCAAAAAGTATCACTACGCAGAATCTGGATTCGACCAACATCCAACAAGAGTTGTTTTGCATATAGTATAAAAGCATTCTTCAATAATATTTATTTTTACCGGCGTGAAAACTGCTTACGCCGAGCCGAGTTAACAACAGTGCGCCAGTCGTTTCTTTTTTTCAAATGATGTCGCCAATTGGATATTCCAAGCGTAGTCATGTCCTTTTAATTCGCTGAACTATGTCAATGTCGTCGTATATTTCATACATCTCATCCTTCTATCGAATCATAAATCCATAAACCTTTTGAATAACTTTTT